AAAAAATCAGGAGCTGAGAACAGATAAATATAATAAATACAGTGGTATTAAAATTCATTTAGGTTCAGAAGTAATAGAAATTGTAATAAGGATCAGAACTTGTAAAACTTGCCACTTTTCTGTGATAATTTGTGGGTGCCACTGGTTTTTTAAAATTTTATTTTATTTTATTATTTATATGCCACCCAAAGTGGGTGGGTGTGTCTGGGGGGGTGTACACACACACCACTTCTGGCGGTATATAAATAAAATAAAATGATTTGGAATAAAAGCTCCCAGATTCCCTCTGCCAAGGCAGTCAGGGTGATTTTGGCAAAGAGATTCTGGGTGTTGCATTTCAAACAGTAACTTTTACAAGCTTAGGTGACACACTGAAACATTACAGACTCTAGTGGAGAATATCAACAGACTTCGCTAGTACTTTATGTGTGTTTCCTCTTAACGACTCCCTTCAGCTCTGGGTTTCTGAAAGCAAAATCCCTGAGACAAAATAATGGATGGAAAGCATGCCTCTGTTATTTTGACAGGACCCTTCACTTTAGTCTTCTCACTTGCTCATGTTAATAAGACAAAAACCTTAGGTTGGATTTCGGTATAAGTTTAAGTGAGGCCTGACAGCATGAGTAATGACTCTTAGCTGAGATGGATTAAGCACTCAAAGATGATTTTGGAAAGTAGCAAACACCTGTCTTCTCTGAACACGTGTGAGTGAGACAAGATGGTTGTGCCTTACTAAAGAAACACAACATGTACAACTCAATGTGCTCCTTTCACCGAGACCACTGGAGATACTCTATTTCCTTCCCTTTTTACAAAGCCCCATTCCCCTTCCAGGAATACATTTGTTAGTACAAAATCAATACATTCTCCCCATATATCTCTAAAATTATTCTTATTCTTATTTTCTTACTTTATAACATTGCATGTCAATTTATCATTAATAGCTGTATTCCACACTTCTTTATACCATTCATTTAATTGGAGATCACATTTAACTTTCTAATTCTTTGCTATGATTAGTTTAGCCACTGTTACTAGCTTTCCGATCAGTTCTTTCTTTGTCCAATTCCATTGCTCACTTTCAAATATTGATTAAAAAGGGAGGAACTTTTCTCAGTTCCATGACTCTTAGAGACACATTTGATAGGAGCTCAAGAAAGAGCCATCTTGATTGGAGTTCTCAGGCCATACAACTTCCAATCAGGAGAGACTGGTTAGGATGGGTTTATTCTCTGATACTTGAATGCTAGCAAACAAATATATTTTTACTCATATGAGTGTTTGGCAATTAAACTGGGTGCTGCTTTTAACCAGTTGGAGGTTCTTAATTACATTACATTACAATCTATCTTATGTTTTAAGTAAACCTTTTTTTCTGTTTTAATTATGCTTCTTTGATGCAATTTTATTCTAAGTAACAAATGGCCATCAGTTCATGCATTCTTAAAAATTAATAAAATACTGAATGTAACAAAATGCTGATTTTTAAATATTTTATATGAAATATTTTAAATTTGATGCATTCATTGATGTCTATTTCTTCTTCAGAGTATTGTAAGCATGTGCATCACATCACCCAAATATAGATTTATTTGATTGTATTTAGAGATGGGGATATTCGTATTTGTAAATGAACACAAATATCCCTGTCCCAGTTGGCCCAGTTAAGGTCCACCCCTCCAGGACTGGACCATCCACTCATGCATCTCAGTGCCATGAAGGTTCTGCTAATCAATGGTGCCCGGCGCTCTGCTATCTTCCTGCTTGGCTGGCTACTCAGCGGCTGTGCAGGGAGATTCCCCCTCCCGCCCTCTGCCTGGAGTGGCCAGCTGAGCAGGAAGACAGTGGAGCTCCGGGCACCATTGGCAGGAAGAGCGGGACTTTCGCAGTGCTGGGATGTGTAAGTGAACAGTCCAGTCCCGGAGTTTGGACCCTCATTAGGTCCAGCTGGGACGGGGCTATTCATATTCATTTACAAATACGAATATCCCCATCTCTAATTGTATTATTATAGTCACTGTGAGTGCTGAGGAGCAGGAAGACAGTGGAGCTCCGGGCACCATTGGCAGGAAGAGCGGGACTTTCGCAGTGCTGGGATGTGTAAGTGAACAGTCCAGTCCCGGAGTTTGGACCCTCATTAGGTCCAGCTGGGACGGGGCTATTCATATTCATTTACAAATACGAATATCCCCATCTCTAATTGTATTATTATAGTCACTGTGAGTGCTGAGAGGGGGGAGACAAATATGAATATCCCCATCTCTAATTGTATTTTTATAGTCACTGTGAGTGCTGGGAGGGGGGAGAGAGATAAGATGTAAATCTAATAAATAAACGCATACATTAAAGTGCTCTGCATGTCCAAGGCAACTTTTTCAAAATATCAATCTGGATTACAGCTAAAGCAGGTGTACTGATGATTCAATAAACTCTGCATGTCCAAGGCAACTTTTTCAAAAAATGCATCAGACATAAAGTATCAATCTGGATTACAGCTGAAACAGGTGTACTGATGATTCAATAAGCTCCCTTCATGACCCCATGCTCATGTTGGCTTGGATTATAACCTTTCAATCTACAGAATTCATTGGAGTGTCCTTCCTGCTAAGTGGGTTTATGACTGAAGCCTTAGCCTTTGGAGGTAAACCTACTGACTAGAAAGTAAATTCCATTGCATCCAGTGAGATTTAAATTCTTGGAACTGCGAACGCATACAAGAAAGAATAAGATTTATCCCCTTTAACCAGCTTGACCTGTGTGACTTCTGACTCAGCCTGAAAACCAAAACACACTCAGAGCTTAGCCTTTTAATTTTTTTAAAGAAAAAAGCACCGTATTTTTCTGTTTATAAGACCACCCAATGTATAAGACGACTCCCCCTTTTCTAACCCCCAAATTTGCACGATTGCCCCCCTTTGATCCTGGCGCCCTTTCATGGCTGCGTTACCCATTTCCTATGCCCCGCGGGGCTTAGGAAATGGGTAACACAGCTGTGAAAAGGT